GTATTTTGTCCTTTTTTGAATGAAAGAAGGTTGAGACAGAAGTGACAAGCAATCTGCTCAAAGCCAAAAAAGTAAACAGCTTGTGAGGCCTTGGGTTTTATTTAAAAGTTGGAACAATAGAAGCAGCCTGAATGGGTGGGCTTATACTCCCACAGAACCTTTAGCTTTCTGCAGTTGTGTGGTCTTGAAGCTGGATGTGGAAGCTCTTATTTCTCTCTCTGTTACAGTTAAAAGCTGGGGTTCTCTTCCTGCTGCTAGCATTGCATGTCAGACAATCTGTTTTACTGAATATAGGGAAGGCGATGGCCTAGTGGTATTATCACTGGGCTGTTAATTCAGAGATCCAGATAATGTTCTGGGGTCCTGGGTTCAAATCTGGCCATGGCAGATAGTGGAAATTGAATTCAATAAATACCTGGAATTAAGAATCTAATGATGACTGTGTGTCAATTGAAAAATCCATCTGGTTCACTAATCCCATTTAGGGAAGGAAGCTGCCATCCTTAACTGGTCTGGCCTACAAATGACTCTTAACTGCCTTCTGGGCAATTAGGGATGAGCAATAAATGCAGTCTAGCTAGCGATGCCTTCATCTTGTGAATGAATAAAAGAAAAAATTTGCCTTGACCAAGGGTGTGTTTATGGGACGTTGCTATATTGAAACAGTTAATTACTAGTAGTTAATAAATATATTACTTTGTTAAGCATTTTGATATGCTACAGTTAAGCCAATTCTTTTCTTGATTTTTATTTTGTTTGTATTTTAACTATAGGGTACGAATAAAGTATGTTTTGTTTCAAGTAGTTTGACCAATCGAACACAACACCTAACACTTACCTTTAAAATAAGAAAACATTAAGGTCTAGACTATCTTCTAAATATATATTGAGAGGGTTTGGTCTGTGTTATGAAACGGAGGTCGACCCCACTCTGATAGCTAAAATCGAAATACCCAGAGAAGCTCGCCACACCTCATAATCTGTTAAAGGAAATGTGAAAAGTGGCATAACCTGCCTCTCACCTCCCAATCTGTTATAAAGAGGAGGTTAAATGAAATGAATTCCTGACAGTCACTCTATAATCAACAAGTAACAATTTATTTATCTAACTCTAACATTGAACAAATTAACCGAACTACTGACAAACTGAACAATTCCCGCTTAACTAAGAACTATTCCTGAATAAAACAAAATGCTAATGATATACTGTTCCAATAGATACTAGTGCCATGATAATAAAGCAAATTAATTAACAAAAACTTAAAACTTAGTCTCTTGAAATTACAGCCAGGATACGTCTTCTGGAATGTTTGGTGCCTGTTCCGCTGTTCTTCATCAGGAACAACTTTCTCTGTAGAATTCTTGTGTCAGGAATATTAGCTAAGAGTGCCAATATACCTTTAGTTAGATGATGGTTAGTCTGAGAGCTTAGAGAGAATTCTGTAAGAACTAGTGGTTTTCTCTTTAGATCTGATGGGTCATTAACTCTAATAGGTGGCAGTTACTCTCACACCAATTTTCACATGCCCTCATCCTTTATACCCTTGATGACCTATTAATTTCTTACAATAGGATTGGTCCTAGGTTGTCAAAACCATCAGATTTAAATTTAATTGGTTTTTAGTCTCTAAGTGCCTAGTTTAAATTGATTGGCTTATTTTCAAACTGGTTTCCTTAATAACAAAACAAACTACAGCCTGGGTTGCTAACTACACAGCGTTTTGATAAAATGTTTCAATTTCAGGATCACTCTGTGCACATGCACATTCTTTTTAAATCTCCAAGCCTAAAGAAAACACATAAATACATAATCTTTTAAAGGGACCACACACTCCCCCCCCCACTAGACCCCCCCACCATCATTTTACAAACCTCAAATTCTAACATTCTGACTTCAAATCCACAAATACTCTACCCAACTTCGCAACAGTCTGGCCCATAATAACTAGGGGCCAGAAAGATATCAATTCACCCAAATCTTAAAAATCCATTTGATACTCTTGTCACGTTTGTCAGCAGTGCTGTAAATGTGAATGGGACATTGTTGTGATTACTAAAAGAGTAGAGGGCTATGGTCATGATCAATGTTCTCCTGGAGGCAGTCATTGTTCTGGCTATTGGCATTCCGAGTTCCTAGCCCTTCTGTGATGTGGTTTTTCATGTGTTTGGGCCTTATTTCAAACCAACTGGTGGAGTAGGAGATTGGTTGGGGTTGGTGGTGTAGGGACCAGAGATGTTGAGGGGTTGGTGAATGGTGGCGCAGGTTAGAACTTCCTATCATCCAGAAACTAAAATCCATTGTCTCCTGTGGGCATGTGAATTAAGAGCAGAAAGAAGACATTTGGCTCCTCATTGAGCCAATCTTCCATCCATGATACTATATTACTCCTTGAAAACCCACCACACGTGACTTGTGTCACTGTCAGGGATGGGGTGAGGGTAGAGATTTGACTTAACGTCACTGACTGCCCACTTTATGAAGGGTAATCTCAGCAGGGGTATTGGGATGCCAGCCAGTTTCCCACAGGAATTGAGTGGAATTTAATGACACAGAAACAGGCCATGCAGCCCTGCCACTGTGGTGCTGTCTTCATTCTCTACATGGGTTGAAGAGGAAGGGAATATGAAGAATGATAGGACCAATTGTTCTATTTCAACAGGGTCTTTTTACTCGTTACATGGAGAATGAGCTAATGCTGCCTCTCGAAAGGATTCTGTTACCTTTGTTAACAATGGAGAAAGTGACAAAGAGAAACCACTATTGACTTGTAGCCCAGTCACCCTCTGGCCTGGCAGGGCATCAATGCAAGCCATGAGTAGAGACTCAGGGTCCCAAGGAACAGGGGCAGCTTTTCTACCCTTTAAGTCTGTTGCACCGTTGAACTAAATCCCATAAAATCTGTACCTTAACCCCAAAGGGCAGCAGCTCAGATAATGGGGAGGACACTGAATAGTTCTGGTCTGCATTAGAAATGCTACTGGACCACACAGCCTTCCTCTCCTGATTCATCACCGAGCTTTTGTACTCAGATTCCAGGACTCCTTAAGTTGCTGAGGCTGGTCCTTTTTGCGTTAATCTGAATGTTGGAGGGCTATTTTAACAGCAACATTTCAATTCTATTTAAATCTCACAAGGAACAATCATTAAATATAGATACACAAGCACTAACACACAACTGGCACCTTACATCGGAGCATGGAACTAAGGCAGGCGCTGGAGGCAAAACTTTGGCTCAGCTTTTGAAACAGATTCTTCTCCTCGTAGAATCCCTACAGTGTGGAAGCAGGCTGTCTGGCCCATTGTGTCCACACCAACCCTCTAAAGAACATCCCACCCAAACCCACCTCCTCTACCCTATAACCTTGCATTTCCCATGGCTAACCCACCTAACCTGCACATCCCTGGGCACTACAGGACAATTTAGCACGGCCAATCCACCCTAACCTGCACAT